GCCGCGCCCGCGCAAGCGGCCCGGTGACCTACCGGCCCCCGGCGCTGGGGCAGGCGGGGGAACGGCATTCCGGTGCTGCGGGGTGCATGCCCGTCACCAGAGCTGGTCACGGACCGGCATCCGACCATGAACCGCGGGGACGTGTAAATGGGCACGGCGCTGCGTGTAACTCTGTGCAAGTGACTTTTCTTTTTGTGGTGTTAGTAACGCCAGTATTTGTCAAAACTCCTTTCTGCTCTGTGTAGGTTTGTGAAAAAACTCGATTTCCAAAATGAATAAAGACGCCCAAATGAGAGCAACCATTAACCAAAAGCTAATAGAAACAGGAGAGCGAGAACGGTAAGCGGGCTTCCTCTTCCATGCCAGTAAGCGGCTTTAAATATTATCAAACATGAACTAGACATAAAGATTAAGTAAAATTAACTCTAAATTCTTCAAGTGCCTGCATGTGAAAGTTTTATGTATTATATAAAGCTATATTAAAAAAAAAAAATTTGCCTTTTGAACAGTTTTGTTTTAGTTTTACACTTGAAAAGAGAAGCTGGGAAAATAAAGGATGCGGTGGTTGGCTTATGAACGCTAAAGCTTTTTCTTATTCTGGTATATTGTGTTGGAAATATCTTCGTTCATATCAAAATCACCACTAACTGCAATTTGTTGCAGTTAAGTCTTGTTATTTCCTGATAAAGAGAATGAGACAAAACTTTTCTTTTTGCTTTTAAGTTTTTCTTGTGTTACTGTCTCTTCTCTTGTTAGGGAAAAAAATATACAGTGGAACACATAAACCAGCACTTGTGCAAGTCATTGTAAAGATTCCAACAAAGGCAAACAAGTAAATTACGCAGTGTAGCCTGGCAGCTAGTTTTTGGCCTTTTGTTGTCTCTTCAGTCTGTTCTATTTGCATTGTATTTACATATCACTAGCGTGCTTATGACATTTCCCTCCTCATCATTTCACTATATTTGTAACAGCACGCACCAAAAGCTCTATTTCCCTCATTTTTCAAGGCCTGTGTGAGAAGGAGTTTTCTTCCTAGGTCATCGCATAGCACTCTACCTAGTGTAACCTTTTGTAGACTGACACGATGGTGTCTGTGCTCTACTTCTTTCCTGGTTGTGACCATCCCCTTGGAGATTGCACAGAGCTTCAGCAGAGCAAGCAATTTCTGGAAATAGTATTGGGACCTATTTTACTCTAATTTAAGAGTAAGAAGAGTTTTGACTGGATGTCAAAAGCTGTATTATAAACAAGCTTTATCAGAGCTGTACTGTGATCAGAGACAGAGCACTCAGATTTCTTGAATGAAGAAATACCCAGCAGCAGTGAATTTCACCTGTATTGTTACTCTGCTTTTTGTCATCAGTTCATCTGCCCTCCACACAATTCATTGAGTAAAAAGGATTAGACCTATGCAATTCAGCTTCTTGCTGCAATCCTTTCATTCATCAAAACAGAATTTTGCTAGAGTTATTTAGGATGGTACAAAATAAGTAGGCTTGCTAGCTGATGGAATAAAGGATGAAGATATTAAAGCTTCTTTTATCATACCTTACTTTGATTTTCCCTTCTGTTTTTCAGTACTGATTTTCACTTTTTTAGCTAGCTTTCAATATTCTGTTTTGATATATGGAGTAGATGTGTCATTGAGGCAGATTGTCGTGTGTCTTCTCTGTTTAATGCCTGAGTCCTTGTTGCTTATGCTTATAATTGCTAATCACGCTTAGGAAAATACAAGATCCCTTCGTCTTCACCCAACATGAGGTAAAGTGTAACTGGGGAGAGAAACCTGCAGTTGAAGATAGTAGTACAGAAATGTCCTTTCAGAAAGGAGGGGGGAAGGTTTTATTTATTTTGAAGGCCTGGTTTCAGGTGAAATATTCTAACTTTGAAAGTTAGCATACATTTGCTAACAGAGTAGACTCGGGCAGTTCAAGTGATTCAAGGGCTTCTGCCTCTTTTCTGTGGCTGCAGCATCAACGCTGCCTGAAGAAATACTGCGAATTAGCTCCTGAGCTGCCGACTCCTCGTAGTCCAACATGGTAAACTGAAATTGGTACTCATTCGGGTTAGGATTCACGTGCTCTTCAGCCATTTCTGCTGCTGGTCTGGGAGTTCTGCTATGAGTAGTAATAACTTAACTTTCACACTGAAGCATATTTAAGCTGTCAGGAATGTTTGCTGTTCCTAACAAGTTTGTATATTGTCTTAACAGCCTTAAAGAGTTGCTGAGAGCCAAATTAATTGAATGCGGCTGGAAGGATCAGTTGAAGGCACACTGCAAAGGTAACGGTGGTCAAATAACTAACATCCTTTGTAATCAACTGAGGTTCTGGCCAAATAAAAGTCCCAGATGAAAGCTTTGCCTAACAGTCAATTTAAATGAGACTTGGGCAAGAGGAAAGTGTCCCTGGCAGTTGGTCTTGCATGCAAGAAAGCATCTTGCCATCTTGGCAAAAAAAAAATCTTGAAACTTCTTCTCTGATCTGAAACTTACGAAGCTTCTGAGAAAAGTATTGGAATTGGTTCCCTAAATATTCATGATGATACAGCTTTTTGTTTTGAGAAAGATCACTTCCTTACCACAGGAGAAAAAAAAAAACCAAGATAAAGGAAAATGGAGCAAATACAGTGGTACGCAACTTAGAAACTTTAGAGAACTTTATTGTCTGCATGTGGGAGAGAAAAAAGTGCATTTGTACTCTTTCTGAATACAATTATTGACAATAAGGTCATTAAATGAGAGAAAACAAGCAGATGAGTCTCTAGGTACCCAAATGTTTAGTTTTGAGTTAAGTATTTAGTATTACTAGAATGTACTGACTTGTAAATTGTATGAAACTGTTATAAATAGTATTTAAGCATCCAGGAATATTACCACATGATGAAATTTCCTTAAAGCAAACAACAAATCCCTTGAGCTTTCGCTTTAATTCTGCTTTGGTCTGTTGTGCCCAGCAACTCAACATTCCATTACAAAGTTTTTTTTTGTAGGGCTGAGTGTGTTAAATTGTTTTCATAGGTGGATTTGCAGAGAAGGCTGAAATGATTCATGCCTGCAGTTGCCTGCCTGATGCCACTGCCAGAGATTACCCATTTCAATACTACAGATAGCAAAAGGGATGCTTATCTGCCTTCTCAACTATACACTTTATACTCTGCTATATGTAAAGTTACGTAAAGTTGTTTGGTTTACATTAGTATTTTCAACTGTAATTGCAGCTGCTGAGAATGCAAATAGAAGTTCAGTTGTCCCTCTTAAGGGCCTAATAACCTCCAATAGAAAGGACAGAGAAGGATTTTGAGGGTTTGGAGGTTTTTTTGTTGTTTTTGTTGTAGTTTTGTTAGGGTGTGGGGTTTTTTTTGGTAGCTTGTTACAGAGCCTCTTGCCATTGTGGATTAGGGCCAATAATTGAGCAATCCAGGATTAATTTCTACAGGGAATTCAGCCAAGAAAAACAGTTTACAAATAGTCCATGTCAGTTCAGAAAACATGTTTAGTGTCTTGGGGACGATCAATCCTATGTACTTACATGTAATTAAAAACGTTCATGTTTAGACAGAATATTTTAGGTTTATGCTACTGAATTGAGGTTTCTTCTCAGCATTGACTTCTGCATTTTTCAGTAGTCTTCAAGGCACTATAAGTAGACAATTTGTTTAATTACTGGTATGTAATAATCGTACAACATATCTTAATCATAGTTTTTATTTTGCTGTAGATGTGTACCTTTCTTCCAGATATGCTTTTTTACTTTGGTGAAATATATAAAACATGTTGTTTAAACCAGTTAGGAAGAGTAGTTAAGTATTTACTGTCTCTGTGCTCTCCCTTGTATGTTCCAAAGTCGTCTTCCAATTGCATCTCTTTCTCACTATTATGTAAATAATGTGTTTGAAGAGATAAGCAGACCAACTTGTGAACTGCTAGAACACTCCAGTAATATGCACATCTGGCGACACTCAGATAAGCTTAAACTTGGTAACGTTTGATTTTAAAATATGAGCTGATCAGGATGCATCAGTAGTGCAAGTTCCCATCCTTAAAGCTATGGTATGAATGAGAGGCTAAATCCACTGTACAATGCAGCGCAGGTACTGAGTTAGTAACCTACATTTAGGTCACAAGCTACTTCATCTTCTCTGATGACCTATGCATGCAGGTTTTATCTCTTAATCATTGGCACAGGTTTTGTCTTCTAATGAATGGATTAAAAGACTTAAAATACTGTCTTGGTCTTCCCCAGATGTTATTAAAGAAAAAGGATTAGAGCACGTTACTGTTGATGATTTGGTGGCAGAAATCACTCCCAAAGGCAGAGGTAAGAAAATGCAAACATGGATGTGGTAGTACATCAATAAACATACCTACCTGTATTTCATTAATATTTTGAAAACAGCACTATGAACTTGCTTGTGTTGGATTCAAGGAAAAATGTTAATAGCTTCAAGGAAAAATGTTAATAGCATCAAGGAAAAATGTTAATAGCTTGATATTAAATACAAATAAAACATGAATTTGTATTGTGTAACAGCCATTGAAAATCTGTAATGAGCTGTGTGTGTAGACTACTTTTGAAGGTTACATTATTTAGTCATGAGTCTGTATTCATCTTTATAATTGACTTAATGGTCCCAAAAAAACTTGGGGTATGAAGCAGAGATATTTTAAAATTCCAATTCTTGTTAAGATGGAAAATCTGAACTAACAGTGCTAGTGTAATGGGAAATGGGACAAGGAAAGGACATAGCGTACAGATAGAGGAAAATGGAATCTCTTAAGGAAATACTGCAGTCGTCTTTATATAGTTCTTCTTGGACTCTCTAGTGGGCTTTGGTGTTAGTGGGAGAAACTTCTTTAAGTCTTAAATAAAAACTTAAATAAAGACTTAAGTCTTAAATAAAAGCCTTCAAAATAACTTGCTGAAGACCCTTACTCTGAGGTCATGGCTGAGATGATTTTTTTTGTCTTAAATTTGTGAAGAAAAAAAGTAGGATAAGCTAGTTTCTGATGATTATATCCTGTTTACTGTTGAATAATCCTTTCCCTCAAACTTTCCAATTTTCTTGATTATGGAAAGGCAAAAAACTACCAATAACAACAGTGTTCACAAGAGACTTCAATTTTAGCCTATTTTAAATGGGAGAAATATAGATACGCTATATGAAAATCAACTAGCTTCAGTTACAGGTATTAACAGAATCGCAAGAACAAAGAAAGAACAGAAGTAGCTGTTGTAAAGGGTTGGTATTAGCATATTTTCCATTTTGTCTTTTTTACTTCTTGTTTTCTTATTTGTGTTTCAGCCTTGGTACCAGACAGTGTAAAGAAAGAACTCTTGCAAAGAATAAGAACCTTCCTTGCCCAGCATGCCAGTCTTTAACTTTGACGTTCATCTGGGATACAGTGTTTCTGTTTCTGTATTATGTCAATCATGTCAGGATTGGAATGCAGTTTCCATACTTAAGGATGGAAAATCATTAATTTTTTTGTACAATGAGTTGAAGTTTGTTTGCACTGCATCAATTTCTTGAACTTGGTGTTATTTTAATAAAAAATTTTGTGGACTTGTGGTTGTAAGGCTCTCCTCTCTATCAGTGCACTGTGATATGGTGTCACCTATTCCAGTTTTTAATAATCCATAATTTTATACAGTTGTGCAAACTTGCTCGGATTTTTCAAAAAAGAGGCGTGACTAACAAGTATGTTAACTAGAAATGCAGAAGGGGAAAAAAGTCTGGAAAATGGGATATGACATGCTACTGAGAATATCCTTTCTAATTTTCTCTAAGTGGCTGAACAGCATGAAGAAGTTAAGACTGCATGACACTGTTGGTGGCATTCATAGAATCAGAATAGTTTGAGTTGGAAGGGACCTTTAAAGGTCATCTAGTCCACTCCTCTCGGTACTTCTTTGCTAGAGAGTAAGTGATTTGAAGCCTCTGACTTGTGTTGCAAATACGCACTCAGTAATTCATAGGAGGATGGATTCTTCAAACAAAAAAGGCGGTTGTATCTTTCATCAATAATTCTCTCTTCACATTTACTTTAGTTAAAAAGAGTTGCTATTCTGATCCACAACAACTACTGTTTTCTAGCTTTGCCTGTATTACTGGTAATTTTTAATTATGTGAATCTTCAGGGCCTTTTAAAATTTAAGTGTGATACAATAATTTGCCAACATAAGTCTCTTAAGATGATACATGGTAAATTCTTGCATCTGGAACTGCAACATCAGCCAGGTCTATAAATAGCTGCGAAAATAAAGTTGATGAATAGAGGATCAGGAAAGGGGCTTTGAAGTGAGAAGTTTCAATTTTTGCCAGCTTCAATTTGAGCTAAGTGTCTAAGACTATGAAGTGGAGGAGAAGCATAAGCAGGAGCTGAATAAGCAATTAGATACTGTTGTGACTCGGCTACTGTGAAAAATTATTTGACTCGACATAAATCTTAATCCTCCTAATTAGAAGAATACTCTAAAAATTGTCGCTTAGCGTGGAGCTATTCTTCACCAGCTGCTTAGAAAGTCGTGCCTGCGCCAGTGGATTCGAGTCTCGTTCCCCAATCCTCGCTGTGAGAGGAGCTGAATAAGCAATTAGATACTGTTGTGACTCGGCTACTGTGAAAAATTATTTGACTCGACATAAATCTTAATCCTCCTAATTAGAAGAATACTCTAAAAATTGTCGCTTAGCGTGGAGCTATTCTTCACCAGCTGCTTAGAAAGTCGTGCCTGCGCCAGTGGATTCGAGTCTCGTCCCCCAATCCTCGCTGTGAGCTCTTCCCCGAGGAGCCGCTCGGGGGCACCCGCGGCTCATGCGTGGGGAGGGAGGTGGCTGCTCCCCCTCGGGTCTCCAACTCCGCTGCTGCCTCCAGTCCCTCGGCTTTAGGAGAGAAAAACAATGCGCTCTGCTGCAGAGCAAAGCACGCACTTCCCACGCTGCGTGCTCACTGGGAAATCAGGCAGCTGGGGCTCAGCTGAGCTAGTCACCTACACAGGGCTGGGATGAAATGGCAGCAGCAGGGCCATCAGTGCCAGGCTGCGAGTGTTTTCTCAACTTCTCTGCTCAGACTGCAAATTGGGGAACAGACGTGAGAGAAGAGTCTAGCAATAGGAGAAGGTGAAGTCTGGCACTAGACATAAGTCGGTGTAAACTGGACAATACTGATGCTTAATGTGATGAGATGTAACTGGTCACGAACACCTTTTTGCTGAGACTGGAACATCGCAGGAGCCAGGATCAGGATCTGCTGCAGTATACAGATATTCTTTTCAGGGCCTGTGCTGTACTGTTTTACATCTACCTTCATGCCAGTTTGAGCATACTTGCTGTATGTCATTGTCTCTACACTGTTAAACAATGGTGGATGTCAGAAAGAAGAAAATTCTTTCTTCCACTTAAAAGTCCATCTTGTTTTTTAAAAAGTTTATTTGCATTGAGTATGTTAATTCAATGTTTGATTGCAACTTCATTTGCAGTGAGTACGTTCTGTTTGAATTGCATATATGTATATTTATTCTGAGCTCTTCATTCTAGACTTGATTTACCCAGTGCTAGTAACTGATGGAGTACAGAATGCTTCTTCACACAATCTAGCAGAATATACCCTAGCTGAGTGTATGTTTAATATATGGCAAGGCTGTAAAATATCCTCTGTACTCTTACTCTTTTGTTCTTAGAGGTCTTTGCTAATGTTCTTCGACATTTTGCACGTTACTTTAAAAGTCTTTGCTTGATTAATGGCTGCAGTGTGTCATGGGCACACAATAACTTGCTCCAGAGCTTCTACTTGATTGCCTTCACTGTGATGGGAGAGGGCCAGACTTCAGGTATTCATACACTGAACTGTGGAAGGCTTGTCTGATTGGTAAACGTTTGAGATTCCATCTAGAACATGACAGTTGAAGTGCAGTTGCTGTAAGTGTGGTGTAGTTCTCCTCTGTAGGCAGCTCATGCTTGGCACAGAGTAAAGACCGAATGCGGTATGAATTTTCAGACAGTTGCGCTGACCAATCTGAAGTTAAAGGCTTGACAAATAGCTCTTTCACATGCTTCCAAAAACAAGTTGTAAAGTTCTGCCCAGACCGGCTTAAAATGCAAGAGCATTCAGAGACCCAGAAGGAAGAGGATAGAGTGACCGCCTTCCAGACATACACCAGTGGCTCCCGTCCCAGGGTAACACAGGCTGCTCTCTGATGCAAACAGCCCAACACTGCATGTTCCTGCAGTGAGTTCTGTTAATCACACCAGTGCAGCCTCCGTTCAGTACCTAGGCAAAAAGCATGTTTGACAACATATGCAGATCCAAATTACACTGGAGCGGACTGGTCAGAGGTATCTTGATGGATCTTCTAAGAATTAAGTTAGATTTGGGGTGATACCAGCAACGGGAGATGGTTTCTTGAGGAATAAATAGGTCCCTTTAGTGGCCTCATATTTTTGTTTTAACTGCAGGTTTTGTTCTCAGATGCATAGGGTGGCTTTGTTGTGCAAACTGCACAACCTGAGTTTCAACTCTTTTGGTTGAGTACTGAAAACCATTGGTAACATTCAAGATTCAGCCAGAACACTGTTGTCCTGTTGAGTTTTTTTCGCACACTGAAAAATAAGATGATCTGTGCTGTTAAAGGTGCCATACCTATAGCACATACAGACAGATAGATGCATTAACTACTTTGTCTTCAAAATTTCAGCATTTTCAATGTCATGAAATGCATCCGTTCCTTACAAAGGCAGACAGCACCCAGAACTAGATACCCAAGAAGTCACAATTCAGGATTGATGTGAATTACCTCAGCTGTGGGCATATAGTTCTTTCAGATGGCAGCCCTATATAGGGGCTCTCACGCTAGCAGCGGATTCAACCTGGTCTTTTTGTAGACAAGCCTGTAAAAAATAAAATGAGTTTGTAAATTGGCATTGAAATAATGGGTCAGATAACAGCTAGCGTAAATTGGTATAGCTCTGGATGCGCACTAATCCAAATTCTATGTGACAGTGAATTGAATAGTCCTACTGCTGTCAATGAAAGACCAATAGAAAAAAGTTAGCTTAGCCTCTCCCTTAGTCAGGCCCTGAGGGGTCTGAAATACACAATGAACTGAAACTGGTTAGATTCTAATTTGTTTGATAATTATTTCCCCATGAATACTTCTCCACATTGACATAGTCCAGTCAAAAAGTGTTATAGAACAGTAACATCATCAGGAAATTCTGCTGAGATGTAAAACTTACACTCACATCTTAGAGAGAACTTTATCATTTGGCCACTGCAGGTTTTTCAATTCTTTTTTTTCTATTCTTTTTTTCCCATTCTTCTTCATTCTTGTGTACTGCCATAATGTTTCAGTACGGACCTTTATCACTTGGAGAACAAGTATGTCTGAAGTCTGTTTAAATCCAGTAAGAGTCCATCAGTGCTATCAAAAAATTATTGCTGCTTCTCAGCTTTTCTCTCCGGAGGGTCCTTTGGGGTGACAGCTCTGCACTACCTAGCCCATGTCCTCGTCTTTTCTTTCACATAATGGAATATGTTTAATTGTAGTGATTGTGGCACCTTGATAGTTTCACTTTAACTTACTTAGTAATTGAGTTTTCACTAGAGCAATGAAAAATATCCAATGCTTTTACCTGCTGGCTTTCTTTAAATTTCTAAATATTTGCAATTGAGATCAGAATTGTGTTCCATTTGGACTGTTTTTCTCAGCTATTCAGTTTCTACAAGAAACAGCTGTGGCTGCAGAGCCAAATTTGTAATGACTGGAGCCCAAAATGAGGAAAAATAAATTTCTTTCCTCAAAAATAACTTATACTTCACCACTTCTGTGTAATGAAAAGGCTAATCAGCATTCTGCTTGGAATGAGAAAAAGCCTAATCTCGCTTTAGTGTATTTCACATTTACCATGGTGCTTTCCATCTGAACAGTATTATTCTTAAAAATGTTCTTTACGCTTACCTTATAACTAGTGAAATGATTTAGCAGTAGATCATAAAAAATACCCCTCTAAGAAATCCCTGCTGATTTCTGTTTGTTGGAGTTACTAGGAAAGAGGTTTTCCGTTCTTTCAAACATTGATCCTGAGGTAAAGTATCAAGTTGCTGCTGATAAAATCTGCGGCTGGCAGCCTGTGGGTGAATGCTGACGAGAGCAGAGCAACCTGGCTTCTTCTGCTGGTCGGCTCCCTTCAACTCTCTGTGTACAATGTCAGTGCAGTGTTGAGTTTTCACATCTAGTTCAGAGGACAAAAGCAACGCTTAATTCCCTGGAAAGCAATGACACTGGAAATCATAGTGAAAAACTCATCATCTGCTTCCACGGATCTTTGAATACATATGAACAGAGATGAACATAACACCGATCTTAGCTTTGGATATTGCATTGGTGAGACTGACACTGATGATGTATGACTCGCAATTTTGAAAGGAAGAAGGAAAAAATGGAGTACTGAAAGAGAAAAAGGAATTATTGAGGGCTAGCACTGCTAGTTAAGATTTAAAAATCTCCCAGTGTTAGTTTATTGAAAAGAAAGCTGATAGAAAATATGGTTGTGATGTGTCAGAACCTCCTCAG